GTTCGGGCTGTTGTAGGGCGCAGACACTTGCCTGTTTCTTTAGACACTGGTGCCACTTGTCCCTCTCCTCGGTGGCCGAGCGCCCCTGCGAGTGGTGGGCGCCCCCACCGGTCAGCTGCGCGGCGCTGGCGGTGTCTGCTGAGTCCAGCGGGCCGAGGGAGACGCCCATGACGAGCAGCAGCATCAGCAGCGCCGCGCTCAGCATCTGGATGGTGGCCATTGTTCTTCAACCTGATCAATACCCGCAGGGAGTGGCGGGACGTTCTGGTGGCTCCTGAGGCTGCGGACGACTGTGGACTCAGCCCGATGCGTACTACACGCCTCCACTGGCTGCTCACTCGCGGGGTCTGGTCGGTCTGGTCTTGGTCTGGGTGGCCTGATAACGGCACGAGTAACTTCCGACGGTCCATACTCGCTTCGAGGAAATCCGTCAGGAGGAAATTAATTCAAACAAGAGCAGTGTGGAAGAATGCGAGTACGCCCCCATTTTGGGGAGTGCTGGTCTTGCGTGGTAGAGTCAGGGCGGGGAAGAATGTGACCTTTCACGTACCTTGGTCTTTTCCGGCATATTATTTATTCAGTTGGTAACCCCTATTGCTTTTAGAGTATGAAACATGGTCTCATTAAAGAAATTATGTCGTAATTTGCATGACGCACTCTATTGTCTGAAGGAAAAGAGATAACGCGCGCCTTTTCCTCTGCGTTCATTTCGGGGAAAACTGCGATGCGGGGGAGAATGAGACAGCCGACAACCCAGCAAACAGCATAGGAAACCTCGGTCTAGAAAGTACATCCGTTTCTCAGATTCATTCGATTATTCGACAAATTACGAGAGCTCGGCGCCTGCGATACTCGGGGTAGGCTACCCCGCCGTACACGCATGTACAACAGGGAACATTTTGCCTACCATCAGGCGCTATGAGACCTTGCATTGGCGTCAGCGTCGCCGAACCCACACGGCGCCGGGCGCAGCGCCGGTACACCGAGAAGTACCTCACTCAGAAAAATCAGTAAACACCCTCAAAAACATCAGGAAAAAAAAAGAAAATTTCAGAAATATCTGGAATATTTTGGGAATATTTTTCCGTGTGGACGTGGAATATCCAGGTAGTCCATCCCTTTAGCCGAAATACACTATTTTTCGTCGCCAGGTACGCGCGGGTGCGCGGGGTGCGGGTGCTGCTGGAGGTTGACGCGCCGGCGCACTGCTCGGCGGGCTGGACGTGGGGCGAGGCGGCCGGGCTGGGCGCGCTGGTGCTGTGCGCCGCCAAGCAGCCGTGGCGCAGCTACTGCATCCAGCCGCCCTGTGGCCAGCTCAACCCGGCCAACCCGTCCGTCTACGCCGTGCTGGGCGCCGTGTACAGGTGGGTGAGGGGCGCTCGCAGCGGGGCTCGAGCGGGGGTCCCTGGAGTTGTGTTGCAGGACGCCACACTGAACCCGTCTGCCCGACAGGGACCTGCTGCACGCCCTGCCGCCGGGCGAGTTCTTCCACCAGGGCGGCGACGAGGTGTTCCTGCCGTGCTGGAACGCCTCCAGCGAGGTGACGGACTACCTGGCCGCGACGGGGCGCGGGCGCGCCGAGGCCGACTTCCTGAGCTTGTGGGCCGAGTTCCACGCCAGGTCGCTGGCCGCGCTGGACGAGGCGGCGGGCCGCGCCGACACTCCCGTCGTGCTCTGGAGCTCGCACCTCACGCGCCCGCCCCACGTCGACGGCTACCTCGACAAGAGCCGGTACGTGATCGAGACGTGGACGGAAGCCGGCGACGCCCTCCCGGACCAGCTGCTGAGCCGCGGCTACCGCATCATCATGGCCGCCAAGGACGCCTGGTACCTGGACCACGGCTGGTGGGGCCGCACGGCCTACCGGTCCTGGAGGACGGTCCGCGACCGCCGCCTGCCGTCCGCCAAGGGCAAGGCCGGCGCCGTGCTCGGCGGCGAGGCGGCGCTCTGGGGCGAGCTCACCGACGCCACCACCCTGGACGCCAAGCTGTGGCCCCGCGCCGCCGCCCTGGCCGAGCGCCTGTGGGCCGACCCCGCCGAGCCCAGCTCCGCCCCGGGGGTGGAGGCGCGCTTCCTCGCGCACCGCGAGCGACTCCTCGGCCTCGGGGTGCGCGCCGAGGCCGTGGCGCCGCAGTGGTGCCAGCTGCGGGACGGCGAGTGCACCTGAGAGGCTGGCGCCCACCGAGTACCTGAACGTGCTTTAATCTGTGATTTAGTAGTTATATAAGATGAGGACTTGATTCTTTTCAATCTAATCTTAAGAAAGAAAAGTAAACAAATTTGTCGCGGAACCGAAAACTGGTGATAAGTTGCACCAAGAAAATAAGAAAAACGAAACCTATTTCATACCCCATCCGATTTAATGGAATACATGGCCTGCGCTTACCAAAATGTTTGGTATGTTCCAATAAAGATCAAAATTAAAACAATATTTATATTTAAAAGATAACAAATTTATAAAGTGTTTACACCACCCATTATGTTCACTGGACGTCCCTTATATTTCTTCGAAATATCTTCTTCAATCTGCAATCAAATTTTATAAATGAGTAAAATTTACATCATTATTAAAACTGTTGGTTCTTTTCATAACCATCTTACCTGACTCTGCAGTACTTTTGTTTTAGAAATAACTAAGTCAAGCTTGGGACGCAGATCTCTTGCCAATTCTCCATGTTCCACCCGTTTTTCACGAACTCGACCCTGCAGAGCAATGCTCTTGTCAACTAGACTCAGCTTCTGCTTCAGTGTGACAGCAAGATTATCTACATATCTGAAATCAATCAATAGCATATAAAACTCTAAAAGGCCCTCTAACATAAAACCTTGGTCAATAAAAAAATGTTTAAATATATTACCGTGGAGAATGTCTAATATTGTGCAAATGATACAATGTTGGATCATTTATTTTGGTGATCATAGTCTGAACAGTGGTGAGCATTTTTTGAACACTATCAGTAGTCTGAACTTGCAGAAATGATTCAGCATTCTGAAGTTGTGCCAAAGACAACAGATCATTTCCACCAGACTTCATTTCATGGAGACGCATTTTCAGGAAAGATTCAACCTGCAGCCATGATTGGATAGATTAGATTAGAAAGCACAAGTACTTTGTTGAAATAAAGCCTATAAAAACAAGATTGTAAACTGTACCTCTAATAGGTCATTGACAAAGCTTATTCTTGTGACAGGGTTGTCAAACAATGCTAACGCATCACTTCCAGAAGCTACTCCCCCTTCAAGTCCACCTCCTTGAACTTCAATTCCACTCTCCTCTAAAGAAATATTGAAATCTATTTCCTAGGTACAATAGGATAAAAGCATTAAACTCAAATAAATTAAATGAAGAACAAATGAGACAAATTATGATTCTGATTTGAACTCACATCTCCACCTGAGGTATTCTCAATTAGAATATCATCACCAGTGCCCCAATCAATATCACCTGTTTCTAGCTTCACATCCTCACCAGAATAATCTGTTTCTACTTTTATATCACCAAAATCAATATCATCTCCAAAGTCAATCTAAAATAGTAAAAACAACATAAATCAAATAATTAAAAACAAACCACTGCAACAGATATATAAAGACTACAAATATATATTAAAAACACTAAAAAAATGGGTACACACATCATCTTTTTTTCCTTCCTCTTCATCAGCAATATTCATGCGAGGTTCCTCTACTCGCAACGGTTTCTCCTTGTGAATCCACTCATAAGTGGTAGTATTACCATTTTCTGAAAACAAGGCCATAGTTAGAGAAGTAAACACAATTTTTTTCACAGAAATGTAGGGTACAAAGTTTTTAATCCAATCCAACATGATTGACCAACACCAATATCTTACCAATCATAAATAAAAGCAATGGAATAGAGTCTCTTTTATGGTCTGATCCACACATAAAATGCATGAAGGCTCGGTAAAATTTAGCAGCCTGATCTAAAGAAGGTAATGCCTGTGCCATTCCACTATAAATCTTGGGAAGCTCATGACAGCGCTCTACAAGCTCTTTCCGGATGCTTTTCCCACTAATGCCCAGTTTTTGACATGAACTATTAAAATCATTTCGTGCTGAATTCTCCTGCTTCTTCAGTTCAGTTTCTCTTCTGTCACACTCCTGAAAATTATTTGCTTCAGTAAGACAAAGCCAAATTTATACTGTGGTAGGTTTTGGTAAGCTGATGAAGTTCCTTACACTTTGCATCTGTTCACACTTCGCGATTTGCTTCTTGATGCTTGGCACCTCATACTGCACATTACGGCAGAGCATTTGAGCAGCTTCAGAGAGATACACATTGTCTTTTTCATACATCCGAACAATTTCTTGCCAATCTTTCATTCTTTGAGAACCATAACGTCCAAAGACATTTCGACTATCAGCTTCTGTTTCTTTCAAAATTTCAATAATTTTTAAGCAGTGAAAGTAGTTAATATCTGGAAGACAGAGGAAGAATTTTAATTGACGAATCCATAAAGTTGAAACTAAAATAAACGACAATTGAAAAGAAGGTTACAAGTTCCAGATAATAGGCGGGCAATGCCCTCATGGACAGGCATGTCTTGGATGGCATTGTTGATTTTCTCTCTGATCAATTGTACCTGAGGCTGCCAGTCTCTTATACAGTGTCGTCGACTCACCAACCAGTCCGGTAATTTATTAGTGTGAATATCGATGGGAATGAATTGGTCCTGGGAAGCAAAACGTAACATGAACACGTGAGGACATCATAAAGTTACCAAAAGCTCTTCCCTGAAGTAGTAGAACAAAACTCAGCCTTAAAACAAGAAAGTTTTTGACCTGTTATGAATTTTAAAAGGAAGAGTGTAGGCATGTCGTAAGCTAGAAGGTTAAAACCAATGACTAGATCGTAATACCTGCATTGTCGGTGGATTTCCCTAAAATGAGAGCAACTCTGTATGTCACTTCAGATTATAGAAAGAGTAATTAGGAGGTCCTGTTGAAATATGACAGCTAATTTCCGACTAGGATCAGTGCCGACAGCTGTTTATTTTGCCAACACACGAACTCTCTATCCTTCTCTGTCGCACTACCACTTGTTTACATATGAGAAATTGAGAGGTAAGATAAACGCGCGCCACTTTCAAAAGAAATCTATTTTATGAGGTGGGAGGAAAGCTTAGGAAAGTGAGATCAAACGAAATAAAGACTTCCGTCACATTTTTATTACAACAGTAAAAAAAGTAATGTTTCAAAATCAATTTGTTTCATGAGCTCGTGACCAATCAGCTTTCTTCATGAACGTTTGTACATAGTCAACATCAGGTGGCAACAGAGGAACAGCCTCCTGAATGAGTTCAGACCACGATAAGGTAGTAAAAGGTACAGGTTGAATATTTGTCATAGTCATGGTATTAGAACGAGTTGAGAGAGCTACAGACACACAGTGTAAAGGATCTAGTAACCACTCATGGAAAAGCCAAGTTGAGTTTGGAACACCATCTAATTCCAATACAGTATCAGTTGTTGGTTTATCAGCGCTCAAGATTGGTGTATTAATTTTGAAAGAACAGAAACGCATATCAGTACGAACTCCCAAACCAGTGCCTTTGCAATAGCTTTCTTTCAGGCACCAATGTCTAAAAAATGTAACAGCCCTCCTCTCATCAGAACTATGAGATAATATTGAGTTCCATTCATTGTTTGAACATGTTTTGCTCATGAGGCGAAAAAAATCTTGTAGCCCACGACCTGTCTTCCGCTTGAAATGCATAACGTCAATTCCAACAGTTAGGTCGCTATCAACCTCACCAGCAAGGACTGTATAATTTCCTTGATGGGAAATGTTGAAGTCCATTTTCAGCATTTGGTCTCTAATGGCTGGACGACCATGTTTATCTCTAAAGAACGTTACTTTATCATAAGGTTCACCTGTAGCTAAGTGTGCTAGTTTCCTCATCATTAAAGTTCCGGCCATACTAGCCTTGGCGTCAGCTTTAAAAGCAAACTTGTTAATTCGCTCTTTATCCTCCAAAGATATACATCTTGAAGCAAGAAGCCACTCTTGTTCTGTTGGCTCCCAGGCTCTGGTGTTGACTGCCCATCGTATGCTCCCACGCAAAGGCACTGCTCCACCCACCATGTTGGGAGATTTTCAAAGTAAAGGTTGCTCTGGGAATGGATGAACAGGCAAAAATCAGAGATGGTTACAATAATAATGACAGATATTATTAAGAAAACATCAAAGAAACACTCACTCTCTTATTTAGCCTAGGTATGCTTTCGAAAATTCATTGAGAGTGAAGACAAATCAAAGAGACACCAGGATATTGCGAGACCAGTTCCCAATTCAAATTAGCAGACTACATACATGATTGTCAACCCAGCAGACGATCGGTTAGCGTACATGGAAATTTTTCATTTGTACTGACAACAGCTTTACCAACCCTCCGAAATCCTTCTTTCATTACCAACATACCAGCACTGAACACATTTGCTGGACTCCCCCTAGTTCATTCATTCCTGTTTTCCTTGTTTTTAAAGCGCTATCTCTTTAAGAGATTTTGGGACGAAGGAACGAACGAACGAACGAATGGACGGACGGGACGGACGGACGGAACGATTCAAGTATTTGCAAATGAAGGAGCGAATGAGCGTTAAAACATCTGTAATAGATACAGAAGGACGATAGATGATGATCTACAGCACAGGAGATGAACTGCTGTTGTTTAATTGCGGTATTTGATTCGTTGCACTTTGCTCACTTTGCTCTAACCTCATTCCTTCAATTTCTCATACCACTGCTGGTGGGCGGGAGAAATTGAAGGAATGAGGTTAGAGCAACCTGCAACGACTCAAATACCGCAATTAAACAACAGCAGTTCATCTCCTGTGCCGTAGATCATCATCTATCATCCTTCTGTAGCTATTACAGATGTTTTAACGCTCATTCGCTCCTTCATTTGCAAATACTTGAATCGTTCCGTCCGTCCGTCCGTTCGTTCGTTCCGTCCGTTCGTTCGTTCCTTCGTCCCAAAATCTCTTAAAGAGATAGCGCTTAATAATCGGCCCGCATCGTCCCTTTGGTGGCCAGTAATCTTGACATATATGCGTGTCGACATGGGAACACAATTGAAAAATCAATAAAAATAATACATTCCGAC